GAGAGAGAGAGAGAGAGAGAGAGAGAGAGAGAGAGAGAGAGAGAGAGAGAGAGAGAGAGAGAGGGAGAGAGAGAGAGAGAGTCTTGTTGTGACTACCTTTCTTGGTTATATGTTGGGGTTTCTGCTGGCGGCTGAGGTTAGATGAGGTAAGCTGAGCCTGTGCAGTTGTGTGTCTGCTGCAGGTGGGTTACAGTCCACTTTGATTTTGGTTTAAGGCAGACTATGGCTTGAAGCATGGGTGGTAGGGGGCTTTCTGCACTGTGTGGAGGTTCAGCCTCCTGATGAGTTGGTGAAAGGGCCATAAAACCTCCTACTTTTGTCCTCTTCAGGCTTTTCTGTCTTTCTGCCTACAAGTCATATGTTGTCACAGAGAAATGCCCCATAGGCAGAATGGAGAAAACCTCATTTTGAGCATTTTTTCCGATTATTTTAGTAATGTGTGTCCCAATTCCATTGTTTGCTGCACAAAGAACTCCCTGGTGAGCCGCCGGCAAACAGGAAGACAAGGACAAGGATAAGGGAGAACAATCATTTGGCATATTTTTCCTGTTATTGTACTGATGTGTGTCCCAATACCGTTGATTACAGCACGGAGAACTGCGTGGTGTGGTGAGCCGTCGTCGGCAGACAGGGACACAAGGACAAAAATTGGGCTGCCTGCATTTATGAGCATCATATATGGTCTATATGAAGTCTAATTCCTCACTAAGCCTTCCCAACACCTCCTAATTTATTCGGTACTATATGTTGTGCCAGAATGGTCAGGAGAGCAATGATGCCATCGCCAGGGTTGAGAGCTGCTGACATGTCAGTCATCTGTGGTAATTCGGAGGCCAGCCGATTGACTTCATCAGCAGACATTACATGGAAGGTGCAGCCTGGCTTAGTAGCTGGCGAAGACAGGGGAAGAAGAATGGCCTCTATCTCAGTAACCAGTAGTAGGACATGGCACTGCAAGCAGGGAAAGGGGGACTTCAAGTCGACAAGTGGAAACCGACAGGAAAGACTACGGTCGTTGTCGACGACATCATCGTTCCGCCCCGGCACATTGGGTCTGCCCGCTGTTGCCGCCGCCACCACCTCCTCTGTTTGCTCCTCTTCGTCTGTGTCTTTGTCCTTTCCTCTCTCCTTCATGCTGTCCTGTTCTCCTTGGTGGCCATCACTTCACAATAGTGGACAGCAGTATCATCATCATCATCATCATCATCACTGTCAGGGGCTTGCTGGTTATGGTGGTGACACGGCGCACTCACCGTTCACGTCTGCCAAGCCCTCGCGGTGTCCATTGAGAATACAGAGGAATAAGAAGGAACAGTGGCACATGAAAGGTCTCGCCGGTGATGATGACAGCGTAGGGCCCTCAACCGGGAAAGGGGACTTGTCGCATGATGAAGGTGGGAGAGGAAGAGATGTCTGGGATGATGACGACGACGGGTTATCGCGTCTGGCGGCAGACATCGAGTCCATGAAAGCACAGAAGGAGCGGGTGAACCGGTCTGCTGCTACGTCGAACAGATCCCGGGCTGCGGATCGTGACATTGGGAGTCGGTTTGGCTCGGTGACAGCTGCCAATGATGGTGGTGCATCAAGTGGCAGTGGTTGGAAGGACCTTCTAGATAAGGTCCTAGTGGTGGACTTCTTTTTCGTTTGTGTAGCTTTGCTCTGGCTGGTTGGCGGGTTAGTGGAGCGTGCCGCCTTCAACCGAACAAATGTAATCGAGACATGGGCGACCCTGTGGACGCCCCTCTTTCAGCCGGCCCTGGGAATTCTCATGGCTGGTGCTCTGGTTTCTGGGTTGGCTGGGTATTTCAGTGGCAAGGACAAGAAGTAGTGGGCCCCTGGATTCTGCAATTTTTTTTACTCTGAAATTCGAAGTTTTTCTCCAGTTTCTTAGGCCCCAACTTCATTCACCGTGCCAAACTTGTGCAATTTTTTTATTTTATTTTTTTATTATTATTTTTTTAATAGACAGTCACACGGATTTTTCCGGCATATGGGTACGCAGGCCGGGTTAACTCATCACTCGCAGAATAATGTATACTTAACCAGTTGCAGTCTTTGGGTTTAACAAAGACATTGCTTGTGCAAATTTCAAACTGCTCAGTTCGCTGTGTTGTTTTCATCTCTCAAAAAAAAAACATTCATTGGCTGGATGAAGGCTGACAGTGGATTGCCTTTCATGCCCCTCTGCGTTCTACGTGGCCCGATCTTTCAGTATGCATTGGCAAATGAGGAGCGCGCATTTGTCCAAAAAAAAAAAAAAAAAAAAAAAAAAAAAAGTTGACAGTTTGTGGTCCCGCCAAGACATCCGTTAAAATTGGAATGATACAGAGAAGATTAGCAGGTTTGCCTACCGAAACCTTGTTACGACTTCTCCTTCCTCTGTGGACGCACCTCAATGCGTGCGTGTCATCCTTCAAGTTACGCAGGGGCCATGACACTCATAAGTTGACAAATGATGGTTTAATGGTCCAAATTGGCAAATTTCTTCATAGGAATCATAGCAAAAAAAAAGGCTGACAGGGTTTGCTCCCCTTTGCAGGCATACCCTCCACCAATTGAATGAATTGATCCTGTATCAGAACTTCCATATGAAAACTATCAGATTATGAGCCTGACGTGATGCTCCCCACCAATAGATGGAGCCTCTCCCCAGGTGCTAGTGGTGTCTGCTCTTATCAGCACCACTATCACCGAAGGGGTTGCCTTTTCGGGAAAAAAAAAAAAAAAAAAGATTATGAGCCTGACGAGTTACCAGTTACTCTATCCCGCGCGCGCGTAGTATTAGTATGGCTCTTCTGCGGCTCCTCGATCTTTATGGGGAGGTTCTTTGTGACCCTTGGAAACAACTTCTCAAGCACCCAAGATATGTGCGCCTTTCAGATGGCACCATCCATTGCCCGCATCAGCTCCAGGCAAGGATTCTGCTGCCAAAAGCCCCTCTGCTGTGGCGGCCGGGACTGCAACACTTCCTTCCACTTGTACAGAGGTCTGCGCACTCTGGTCTTAAAAGCACCAGTACATGCCAGGTATCGGCCGCGGGCCCCTTTCGGAGGCCGCCCACCGCCCAATTCATTTTATCTATGGCGCTCGGCCTCCTAAATTTTAGGGGAGGCTCAAAACAGGCTCTCCAGTTGCTTGGGGCCATGTACTGGTGATTTAAGCAGAGCCAGTATCAATACAAGCCTTGGGTACTGGGCCCCTTTTGGGGGGGGGGGGGGGGAAGTCTTCTCTTCTCACCCTCCCAACTCTCTCCAATGTTTTGCTCTGGGGCGATTGTCCGAAAAGCTGTTCTGAGAAGGCATTCTGTCACACTACTGCCTTCTTCCCCCGAATACAATGTACGGTCATTCTAGCAGTACCTAGACTGAAAGCGGCATCAAATACAGCTATAATGACCGTACGTTGTATTCGCGGGAAGAAGGTACCTTGTCTTGGAAGGTGCCCCCTTCCTTGCCGGCCGGGTCTGAAGAGTGCCAGCCATCCAGGCAACCCTCATATTTGGGGGAACACTTTGCCTACAATACACAGATCTGCAAGGAAAATGAGCCAATGACAGACAGAGGCAATCCTTTCACTGTTTTCGGTCTGAAGAGTGCCAATGACACAAACCAAATTGCAGCATCCCATAGGATTCCAGACAGATAGTCACATGCTCGGACCGAAAACAGCGAAAGGATTTCACCTCCCGTACCTTTGGTGGTTTGATCCTTGAGCCTGTTGTTGGCATTGGGCGTCGCCGCACGGGATACGAAACGAAAAACGAAACGAGTGCATCTTCTTGCAGAAAATGGCCAGGTTCATCGGTTTGCTATAAATAGTAACAGTGTATTTGTGCCACCTTTCGCGGGCAGATGCACTCGTTTCATTTTCGTTTCGTGTGCCGTGCGGCGAGACCCATTGTCTGTTTGCTCTGATGGATGCCTGTGCGATGATGTTCGAGGTTGAACCCGGGACCTGATGTTCACCTACCTGTGCCCTCACCTGTTGCTGTACTCCGTTGTAAGCGTTGACTGTGCCTGTTGTCGAGTCTTGAACCTGCGACCTGTGACACTCAACCTCACGCCCTTTGCTGCTTTCCGGTCGGAGTATTTTGGGTTCGCGGAAAGGCCCGGGAAGAACAGCAAAGATGGGGTGTGCCAAGGATTTTTGGGGAAATTGAGTGTGGGGACACAGACGGAACTGAAATTGACTGTGCCTGTTGTGGAGTCTTGAACCTGCGTCTGTTGTAGTCATTTCCTAAAGTAGCCTCAACTTTTTGAGCTAAAACAAAACGAGGGGGAGTGGGGAAGGAGATGGTGGGATATCACGCGTCCTGCTAGTGAGGGGGCTAGCTGGTAGGATGGGAATAGGGCATAGCAGCAGCGGAGATGGTGGCTCTGCTGCAGTAAGTCTTGCCGGAGTAAGGTAAAGTGGATGGATGGGGAGGTTTTCTGAGCAGTTTTCTGAATTCCGGTTATACTCTGAAGTTTGTCGTAGTCATTTTCTAAGTAGCTTCGTTTTTCTGAGCCAAAGCCCGGTAATGGCCCCGGTATCTCAATTTTCAAAATCATATGTAAATTTTCAAATGGGACGCTGGGCCCGGTTCCCAGCACGTGCTGCTCCCCACGAATAGATTGGAGCCTTGTTCCCAAAAAAAAACAAAAAAAAAAGGAGTCTTGAACCTGTGACCTGCTCTTGTGTGTGCGTAAAGTCAATGTGTAGTACCATCTGTGCAGCAAGTGTGCCGCCAGCAAGTATCCAGAGGGTTGGAGGGGGAACGGGGGAAGTGGCCCCCGGAAACAAAACTACAGAATTTGTTTGTTCTGCAGGCCCATTCATTCGTTGTGGTGCTGATCCGTGAAATCAAGCAGTGCCCTGTGTGATGAAGAAGGCAGCCATACCTGAAATAGTAGGGCAATGGCAGTCTTCCCCTGAACACAACAACACACCCTCACTTCGGCTGTACCTGGCCAGAAATATGGCTTGCATTCATTCATTATCAGGGTGCGGTATGTTCGGGGGAGGGAGACGGTAGTAGCTGTTGTTTCTGTTCCTTTTTGGAGTGGAATGGCACTGCTGCGTTGAGCGCTCGTAGGAGAATGCTTTTGCTTGGTGGAGAGTGAGCCATCGAGTAAGAGCATCACTTCGACTTCGATGTCCGGGGAGAGATCCTAGGAAAGAGCGAGAGGGAAGGAGACATGCTTGGGTAGTAGAGTCTGCACTACCTTCTTCCCCCGAATACAACGTACGGTCATTATAGCTGTATCTAGACTGAAAGATGCCTCAAATACAGCTATAATGACCGTACGTTGTATTCGGGGGAAGAAGGTAGCTGAAGACTGCATTTAACTCTGATCTGCATCTCCATAGCAGCGGGTGACAGGGTTTGCGTCATGGAAAGTTTCATTTGAAGTTTCACCTTGAACTTGCCTGGACAAGTTGACTTGACCTGTTACCTTGAATCTGCATCTCTGCACAAAACGCATCCAGATTCAGGAGCTTAATCCAATCCTCTTCGCCAATGGGACTTCCCCCCTGAAGGACTGAATGAACAAGGCCGCACCTTCCCCCTGAAGGACTGAATGAACAAGGTCGCATGGGCGTGCTGGGGAGAGTTGCAGGTTTGGTTGGTGTTCCCCCGTACTATACATAGAGTAGCGAGAGGATGAGATAGACGAGGAGAACATATATATAAAGAAGATCGAGAGACGAATATAGATTAGTTTAAAAAAAAAAAGGAAAAAAAAGGAACCGGAAGTCAATCGGGCCAAAACTTTTTTTTTTTTTTTTTTTTTTTCCCCTTTTTTGACACATTGAGTTTATTAGATCATGAAAAGGATACGCTTCCATTGGTCACAGCTCAAACCAATCCATACCCACTGTAGCTCAAACCAATCCATACCCACTGTACCCTGTCTCACGCTGCCTCCACCGAGGAAAATCCCTCAGCCCCAACATAGAACAGATCCCCTCCCCTCCCTCCACCTCATCCGCGAAGGCAACCAATCCCCTCCTAGAGGCTGCCTTTGCCCACCCCTTGTCCCTGTCTGC